TCAACTTGGAAAACAGAAAAAAATACCGAATGATTTCAGATCTGGCTAACGAGATCTCCAGGAACCCTGTTAAAGGCTTCAGTTGGATGCCTCTAGCCACATACGAGAACTTATAGAAAGAGAAAAGCTAAGGCGCCTGGGGGGCTCAGTTGGTTGAGTGTGTCTGCCCTCGGCTCAGGTCATGATCCCAGAGTCCTGGGATGGAGTCCCGCATCAGGCTCCCTCTACCCTTCCCCCCTGCTCATGATCTCTCTCTCACTCACTCTCTCCCAAATAAATAAATATTTTTTTTAAAAAAGAGAAGGGCTAAAGAAGCAACTGAGCAGTTTGTAAGCATCATTTAGGGGAAGTAGAGACACATGGGAAAAAAAAAACCCTTAACCAACTAGCCTGTTACTGTCATGCATGGATGGTCATCCCGCCCCAGTCAAACTGCCAGCAGATTGCAGCGACATGAGCAAGCCCAGGTGAAACCTCCCAAACGCCCATCTAGGCCTGGCTCAAAATGTTGACCTCAAACTGTATGCTAATAAATTACTTTGTTTTAAGTCAATAAGCTTTGGGATGGTTTGTTATACAGCAAGGGCTAACTGATATACTGATAAAGGAATGTCATGTTAGATGAAAAATACTTTACAACTAATATCATCCTTGACTTGCTATGATGCTCATGCTGACAGAAACTCCTTAGGTTTGGAGGCACCTGGGTGGGCTCAGTTGGTTAAGCGGCTGCCTTCGGCTCAGGTCATGATCCCAGGTAGAGCCCCACAGCCGGGCTCCTTGCTCAGCAGGGAGCCTGCTTCTCCCTCTGCCTGCTCTGCCTGCCGCTCCCCCTGCTTGTGCTCACGCTCTCTCTCTGACAAATAAATAAAAATTAAAAAAAAAAAAGAAACTCCTTAGATTTGGCAAGCATTAGAGTCAGTCCTCCCATCTTTCTCTCACTCCCGAGCCTGAAATCATTACATGGAAAAGAGGATAGATTCCTCTGAATGACTCAAACAGTTATTTTTCTTCCTTCCTCCAGCCAACCTCCTAAAAAATGAATTAATCTAAGTTAAAGGTGTATATGAGATGACTCCACTGTGTTGGTAATAAACACACTTTCAGAATTAATAATCAGAACATGTCAGAAACAGGACAACACATTTGAAATGAGGAGTGTCCTGGGGTGCCTACGTGGCTCAGTTGGTTAAGCGTCCAACTCTTGGTTTCGGCTCAGGTCATGATCTCAGGGTCGTGAGATGGAGCCCCTAGTTCAGCTCCACACTCAGCAGGGAGTCTGCTTGAAGATTCTCTCCCTCTGCTCCTCCCCCTTCGCTCTCTCTCTCTCTCTCCAATAAATAAATCTGAAATGAGGAGTGTTCTGAATACCTAAGACACTGTTGTGAGCCACTGAAGGAGGACTTCTGAACAGAAAAGTGATATTACTGTAATGTTTGGGGAAAATGAGGATGACAGAAACACGCTGCGTAGCAAAGGACCATATCAACATGTAGAAACCAACCAGGACACTATTGTAAACATTCACGTGAGAAAAGAAAAAGATCTGCACTGGCAGGTCTACCCTGGGGATGTAAAACTGTACAGTATAACAATAAAAACAAAACAAGAAAACTGCAAAACATAAAGCACACAGCATGATGGAAGAAGGGGGCCTCAAAAACAGAAGAAATAATCAAAACAATCAAATGTTTTAGAACAGGCAGAGTTCCAAAGCTCCAACTGGTGTGAGTCCCCACTGCTTTGAAATGGTCATTTCAACTCACCTTATCATATTTTTGTTGTGAGAATAAATACAAACCTATAAAAGAATTTCATGCACAAAATTGATCACAGAGGCAAAATTTACAATAATTAAAATACTGGGACTAAGTTAAATGGTCCCCCAAATTGGAAGGGACCCTCTTGTACTGTTGGTGGGAATGCAAGCTGGTGCAACCACTGTGGAAGATAGTATGGAGCAAAAAGTTAAAAATAGGGGCGCCTGGGTGGCTCAGTCAGTTAAGAGTCTGCCTTCAGCTCAGGTCATGATCCCAGGGTCCTGGGATTGAGCCCCACA